GGCGCTTGGCCCAGGGCACCTAGAGGGCCGCTGGGCCTTGGCTGCCCGTAAAATCAAACCAGCAAATCCTTCTCATGCCAACACGAAGCGGACACTTGCAGCCTAAACCCCAGTGGTTATGTGGCTGCTGGAAGTTCGAGGAGGACTTGGGGCCTGGGGTTGGGTGCTAATGTTGAGGAGCTTGCAGCAAACTAGGACTTTGGGGGCCCAGCAGATCTGCAGTCTACTTGGTCACGCTGCGACAGCTCCAAGTGACTTAGTGCCTCAGGCTTCAATCGCACATTTGGCCCTTGCAATGCCTGGGTAAGTTGTGAAGTGGGACCGCAGGCTGCCCTGGTGCCCAGACTGTCTGTTGTCCGGAGGTGCCGGGGGGGTGGGGGTGGGGTGGGGGCTGGGGGGTCGGGAAACCGAAAACATCCAAAAACTCTCCTGTGGAGGCGGACCAAACCAAACATTAAGGGCACAAAAAAAACACGAGAGAGAAAAACATGCTTTTTTACGAACTGAAGGGATGCACCCCGTCGTGAACCCGAGAAGTTGCCGCTCTGGTGGCTATCGACCCCTGGCCTCTGGCCAAGCGACCGAAGCTGAAGGCTTGGCCGCAGACGAACAAAACCCTGACAACAGCCTGACTTACTTTGTCTCTTTATACTCCTTCGCTCTACAAGATAACAACTCTCGGCCCTACTAAGATGCACTATGCGGGTTCCATCTTCAACCTCACTTGAGGTTCACGTGTCGACGACCTAAGACCCCACTTTTTGCACATGGTTGCACCTGCAACTTGCGCCAAGCAGCTTGCCCTCCACCCGCTTGGTATCCCCCGCATCCAGAGGCGTCGGAGTCTGGGCTTGCGCGGATAAGTTATTAGGTTCGGTTTCGCCTGTGTGTCGCACCTCGCAATGTGGCCTTCCGATCCGAGCCTTTCAGGGTCTGAGGTTTCCCAGCCGGAGCTCAGGGCTTTCAGATTTCAGCGTTTCCGAACGAGTAGCGTCTTCTGGGCCTTTGGGCACACCGGAGGCCTCTTGATATGTCAAAGACTTCAAGTGCTGTCCTCTACTCTAAAGCTAACTCTGTTGGAGCGTCCTCTGCAAAAGCTCTGAAGGAAAAACAACATGTCCTGCGACTGCGCAAGAAGTCCCAAACACAGTCTTCTTCAACGTTGAGTCGTTTGATCAAATGCCTTGCAGAGCGGAGCCGAGGAGCGTCTTCTGCCTCTGGGTCTTCTACTTTGGGCTCATCTTCGGCCACGCAGGCCTGCTGTCCCCAGACCCAAGCACTCTCTTTCGGCAAAACTCTTAAGTCTTACGATCCGTGCGTGCTTGTTGCATCCCTATGAAGGACTGCAGTAATCAAATGCCAACACACACGAAGTCCCAAAGAGAACCCACTCCAATCCAACAGGAGTCCAACCTACCCAAGCCGCAAAGTCTTTGAAAGCCCTGAAGCCGAAAGCGTCACGGGATTTCGAGTAAGAGGGCCCAGAGCCCGGCGCCTCGGTTTCAGCGGGCTCCTCCTTTGCCAGCTCCACGCCCATCTCCTTTCAAGGACAGTTTCGACGGTTTTCTCACGGGCTTTGTAGGATGTGTACAGTAGCGCCTCTTTGGGTCTAGGCTTGACGGATGCAGGACACACGCTGAATCCTGAAGTTGTAGCTGAATGACATTAAGATACAATAAGAGCCCGAGGGGTGTCAGGATACTCGTCTGCTCGGGGGATGTTTGGGTTAAAGGCTCAGGGTTGGCCCCTGGGCGTACGAATCGTGGAAAGGCTGGCTTCTGGGGTCAGGGGCTGTAGTGCAGCAGAGCCGCCTCGTCCACGCCGCCTCGCTGCGAGCCCGAACTTAACTTCTTGCGACCAACCCTGGACTGGGAGTCATCAAAACCCAACAGTAAACGTTGAGGTCCTGCGTTGAGCTTTAAACCTTAATATGCAGAAAGCCACGCCCAAAGACACTCTCTTAAGAAACCCAAACCTTTTTCAGCACAGCGCAACCCTTAAACGCACTTAAGGCCCTTGAAAGCCCGGCAGCAAACTCGACATCTCCGAAGCACTTTGTGAAATGACGCGCCATGTGGAATGCGCCTGGCAGCACCGCGCTGAAGCCGCCGCCATCTTCGGGCTGCAGCCGCGCAATGGCCGCCACGTCCTCGGCTCAGCCATACAGAAAAGTTCTTACAAAACTCTCTCTCCACACATGATACCATCCAGTATCCATGGAGGGCTTCATCTCCTCAACTACCCACCCGAAGGCGAAAGTGGGAACTTAGAAGCCGCCACCGGACAGACCGGGACCGCGGCTTTAGCGGCTGTGGGAGTATCAGGTAATTCGCGCAGTGTCGGGAAATCAGCGAATATATATTCAACTCAAGTTGATATTCCTTTTTAAACGGCCTACAGATCAAACAACTTGCGCCGCAATCTTGATGGCTGCTGCTCAAGGCCTGCTAGATCTTAGAGACCCGTAACGCAAAGAATTCTCCTCGCAAAACAAGCTTAGGGCTGGTCAGGATTTACGGCTTAGGACCAGGAGCTTCCTGGACACATGAAACCATATGAAACCATGGCCAGGCAGCCGCCTCTCTGCGTGCCGCGTCCTCGCTCGTGGGCCACCTGTGGGGTATCCGCGGGGCAGAGGTTGGGTGCCTTCGCAGGTGTTTGAGGGCTTCGAAGGGGGGGGTGGTCAGGATCCCAGTTGCGGTCACGGTCAACTCCGGGTCTGAGCTGCTTGGCCCAGCTCCCTTCTATCCATTTGCATTGCGACCAATTCAACCTACTGATCCTAACATTCCTTAGAACGTGAATGCCGATTCGAAGCCCGATGCCCCCAAAGTCAATATAAAGTCAATACGGGGAACTTCAGGCGGAGCTTTCAGTCACAAAGCAGACCTTGAAACTTATCCACGTGCCTCAATACCCGGAAAGCAGTATCCCTTGATGCAAATTCTCTCCAATGCCTGAACCTGAGCCGCGAAATCGGTCTCTGGGAGGGTTAGATTGTAAATGCTTGCACTCGTAGCTTCAGCAGAGTGGTCGAAAGCAACATCTGACCCCCCCAAGTCGGCAGCCCCAGCCACAATCCCAGGGATTCCACGGCAGGCCAAGCATCCTGGCTGCGAGCTTCTATGAGTTGTTTTTTTGTTTTCATGGGGTTTCTTTCTGGGTGTGCCGGAATGTAGGTGCCTTTACGACTTCGATGTGCTGCTACGAGCCAAGGTGGTCCGTGTACAGCGTGTTTGGACTCCGCTTAAGGCTTGGGCTGTTTTCTGGGGGTCAGGTCTACAAAGGCCTACAAGCCCGAAAATGTGGGAAACGAGGCCTCGAGAATCCACAGGCGCTGGTCGGACTCCTCAGAGAGAGCGGCAGACGTACAACATGGTACAAATTTGCGATTCTCTTTGAAAGCTTTGAACCCCCCCACTGGCTTCCAAAACCCTTCGATCGATCTTCTTTTCAGCTGTGGGAAGGGCTTCATTCCAACTCTGCCATCCACCCCACCAGTAGCCTGGAAACCCATTCCTGCCCTAGCGCTTCAGTGCTCGTTCGCCTCACTGTCGCTGCACCGACTCCCATTTCCAATTTACGGGAGTTGGGGAGCTTGGTTCAACGCGAGCTCCTCAGTCAGGCACAGCTGCACGGCCGACTTTGTGGCCTTCCCATGGAGGGCTTTCTTTCTATAGTTGAAGGTTTATGTAAAGGCTTTGTGGAGGTTTGTGTAGCTTTGTATGGATTTGGGGGCTTCCGGCTCGGTCGTTGTTTCTCGGGCTTGCGGCATTAACGGCCTGCAAGACTGTTGCATTTAGGGCCTGAGGGTTCGCTGGTGCAGGGAGCTGAGATTTCAGGGGGCTTTGATGGGTAAAGTCGTTTGGGGCTGTCGAATGACTCCACGCTAAACAAGTCCGGTGTGTGAATTATCGTGCATTCAGCCACGATGAAGTGGCACTGACAAGTGACAGGGGGAAGTTCTTTTGCGGACGATCGCATCACTTGAATGATTTGGGTTGGGTTCCGGCCCCACAAACAACTTGCATGTCTCTTCAGCCCTCATTGTAGTTCACAGCATGCACTGGTTGTGGCTCACTCAATCTGCCCCTGCCTTGTTCGTGGCGTAAACTTTCTTCAGGACTGTTTGCATGCTCAGCTGCAAGAGACACCACGATCAAAAACATGTCTCGCTCGCCAGAAATTACTCCAGCTCCCCATACTGAATTTAAGCGCATCTTGCTTAGGGGTAGCTCTGCGTAGCTCTGCGTAGCTCTGCCCAGCTTTGTATGGCTCTGCCAGATTCCACAAGAACTTCCGCCTGGTCGAGGTTCCCGAGGGTCTCATGCAGCGACGCCTCTTTGCCCGCCCCCTGTGCACGTGCAGGTGTCGCCGTACAACATGTCAAAGAACCCTATGTATAGCCCCAATCTTTGCCTCTTACCGGGTCTGCCCGCCTTCCGTAGACCGAGGCTCTTCCCCTTGGGCCCTTTGTTTGCGACGTCCGCTGCAAAGCATTTTTCGGGTTAGGAACAAAGCTTGGCGCTACCGTAGCTGCGATGCACATGGCCTTGCTTGACTGGCCGCTCCCCCTTTGTAGAAACCTGAAGGTAATGAAGCAAGGATCCACACTGCTCGAAGTATCTCTGGGAAGCCCACACTCCAAGGCCCTGAAATCAGTTGATCGCGAGCTTCGGTGGTGTAAACCGCGATCCAACGGCAGCTTCCACCCACGAACACTTCGAATGTATGTTGGATACAGAGAGGCTACAGGAGCGGATTTCTCTGAGTCTTGACGAGTCCGGCGAGCGATTATGGAGAAGAGAATGGGCTTCAGGTTGCTAGGCTTTCGAGGCCTTTCAAAACCAGCTGCTATGTAAACTTCTCGTTGCTGCGCAATGAAACATTCATGAGGGCAGGCTTTTGGTTATGGAAAGATCCACGATTTACTTGAGCACGGAGTGTGTCGGGTGCTTGCGGGGCAAAGGGTACCAAGTAAGGACCACCAGACCACCTCATCAGACGCTCTTCTGACAGGAAAGTGGGGAACCCCTGGCTGCTTCTTGCTGCTTCTCCACGTGCGCCTCGGCCATGCCCAGTGCGCCGGCATTGGCCGCGCAGCCCACAGCGGTGGCCAGGGTCTCCTGCGCAGGACTTCGAGGATTCAAGGTGGTTGCAAGGGTTTTGAGGGGATGAGAATTATCTCAGGACCTGAGGATGGCATCACCGTGAACAGTTTTCTATGGGCTTCAAAAACAAAAACAACAACTCAAAGCAACAACGCATCATCGCGCAGCCGGTTTCGCCTTCAACCTTACATGCCCCACAAAAGTGCGGAACAGAGTGGCCAAAAAGCATCTCCCCTTCCCTTAAACAGTCCGGGGCGATTCCACCCTGCGCGCAGCGGGCGGCCACCTGCGCCAGGCGGCTCGACAAGAGTGATGATAGGAGGAGCCTTACAATAGGCCCCCAATAGACCGTATATCACACCTTACATATAGGTTTGAAATCCCCGCCACCCTCTGGTGACCGACCGCGAATCCCTACACATCTCTACACTCAACATCTCGATGAGTTCCTGAAACTTCCTGAAATTCCTGAAATGCGGAGGCCTCGGCCGCCAGGGGGCGCGCGAAGGGGCTCAGCTCTGGAGCCTGGATGGTGCGGGGTATCTGACAAGGCAACAGGGCCTCAAACCGAAAGAACGCTGGCCACCGTTTCCACGCCTCAACCATCGACTGGGTGAGTTCAGAAATTTTGGGACCACCGTCGGGGTCGCCATGAGCCATGAAGCCCGTTCCCAAAGTCGGAAGCCATGGCACGTGGTACAGCAGCCAGGCGAAAGTCCGCAAGTCCCGGCGCAGCTCGCGTGCAGCTCGGGCTGCAGAGCCTCCACAGGAGGGCAGAATATGAAAGCGTTCTTACCGACAAGGAAGCCTTAGGCATCCTCACCTAATTCGGGCTTTGGGAACCACTCCGTGCGCAACTCTTGCTTGCATGATTTCGATTGCAAGCTGAAATGGCAACGACGACAGCTTGTCCGGTACCGAGTTCTGACTGAACTGGACAGGGAAGTCATGTATGTACTGTTGAGTGACGGCCGGTTAAGGCTTTAGTGGTTCAAGAACTTAAGGGTAGGGTTTCGCTGTTCCCCACACTGGGCGAGGGGGCTATCGGATTTTGACTCTTGACTCAGATGTTGTCCTCGCCCGGGGCTTCCTGTACTCGCTCGTGAAACCCGCCCGCGCCCCCCAAGACTAACAGTGAGGATGCTCGAGATAGATTGAAAGTCAGATCTTAAACTTCGGGATTCCGGGATTTTATGTCTAAGCCGCCAGACCTCCCGACTCCGCCGCGTGCAGCAGCCGACGCAAGTGCGGCGCCTGGAGCCCGTACCCGGAATGCTAATGGGCTTTAAAAGACGGCAGCCACCCAGACGGTCTACTCAAAATATGAAAACATGCATCTACGAATAAAGATGCAAGTATAAAACAGAAAACACAGGTTTTGAAAAGTAGACTGATGCAGGTACATGTTGTACACAGAATGCTTTGAGCTTCTACTTGTATGGACACGTCGTGTTTGAGCCAGATGATTCACTTCCCCTATAAGAAATAAGAAAAAACTATTCAAAAAAACTAACATGTTAAAGGCCTTTGATCTTGGCCCTCAGCTACATCCGCGCATTCAGATGTTCCACTTCATGAGTTGCGTGCAGCGTGGTCTCTCGGTTTGGATACCTATCAAGGCCTTTTTTCAACGATATGCGGCACGATGCTGAGATGCGCGCAAGGACGCGGTAGCCAAATCGTGGCCACAACACGGCAATGCCTCAGAACAGAACAGGACAGGAGTGCTGTTGAGGATTTGGGCTATCCCGCTTTGGCTTCACGGACTCATTCAACATACCCGCAAATCTCAAACCCCGTTCAGAAAAACTTGCCGTAGTAGAACCGTAGTAGAACCTGTGGTAGACACGCCTCCCCTCCACAGCTCCATAGCTCTATATAGGGAGCGTAGGGAGCGGACGCCGAGCTAGCAGCCGCGCAGCCGCCCAGGGCCCAGGTCCGGAGCACAGGCCTCACTGTGAGAGGTGTTTAAGGGGAGTCTTCGAACCTTCGCAAGTTCACTGTTCAGCTTCCGAAACCTCAGAAGTCAGGGTTGTTTGGTGTTTTGGGTCCAGGGTGCTTCTTCAATCTCGACTTGGGCGAAGGTTTAGGACTTCAGGGTGTCGCACAGGCGGTGGTATAAGGAAGAGGCATCGAGGTCTTGGATGGCTGAGAGTTGGGTCTCTGGGGACTGATAAGAGAGAATCGAAGAGTTTACGCGAGCTTCTTGCGGTAAAGCTTCTTCAATTCTTCCCTTCGGCGCAAGAAACATCCAGCTTGTAGGTTCTACGAGTGTTGGGTGATGGGTTCGTGTCCAGACCCACCAGGCCCCTCGACAATGAGCAGTCTCCCTGCAAGGGCCCCCAAGCATCGCAAGTCAAGTTTCCAGAACAACTTTGAGCCGAAAAAAGGGCCTTCAGAAGCCCGAGGGCCCGAGGGCCCCTTCGACATGAGCCAAAAGAAGCGAGGTCGCACATGAGCCAGCGGCCCGAATGTGCCCCAATTCGACCCGACATGGAAAGCAACAACAAGAAGAAACGTCCCCGAAAACCTGAGATGCTGACTGTGCAAAAGCTCCAGGCAGGCCGAAACAATCACAAGTCGGTCATCCGCCTGGCCAAGGTTCAATTCGGAGCTTAGGCCTATGCAGCTTTCCACTCCAAAACTACAGGTTGACAAATGAAAGTCTTCAGCACGTGAATTCTTCAATCGAGAAATCGTGTCCTGATGGGGAGGTTGAACGGTTAGGATCCGACAGACAAGGACAGGACTTCTGGGGCTTCAGAATTCAGGCTCAGGGTACCAAAGAGATCTCAACTCAACATCTTTCGAAGAAAGCAATGGCCGAACAACAGGCCGCACTAGCCACAAGATCGCATGTCGCCGTGACCTAGCACGTCATCGGGCCCCGCCCCCTGCAGCAGCCCCCACCCTTGACGACAATAGTCGCTCGCGTCAGCACTTGTCTTAGGGCACGCAATACGTGTCAAGCCTGAAGCCAGAACCCTGATTTCTGACAGCAAGAACACAAGACCTGGCAATCTCGACACCCGTCTAAGATCCATCAAGCAACACCTAGAAACTGTTCCAGCCCCCTGAATCTTGATCTTCTCCCGCCACCTCAGAGCTACTCCCCGCAGCGTCGCAGCAAGCTTCCAGGGCATCGGCCTGTCACTGTCATGGATCGTATCCTTGTCCTAGGAAGAACGGGCTCAAAAGGCTTCACTTCACCGTGCTACTACCGTGCTACTGCGGGAAGGCACTGGAAGTCAAAGCAACTCACAAGCCGTGGACACGGGTTCGTAATTGCAGCGCAAGATGCATAAAATAGCGTGATGTAGCGTGCCTCTGTTAATTAGCACTGCAATGGTGAGAGTTCGCTCAATCGGTTTGAAAAGTTGTGATTACTCATCTCGCTGCTGGTGCCCTCAGATCCCCAACCCTGAGCCCGAAAAGTAGCTAGTCCTTAGATTCCCGTGGGCTTACGCGCGTCAGAACAAGTAAGCGGGGACCCTAATTCCATTCCCAAGCCTGCGACTCCCCTTTATGGCAAGAGATTGGCCTGTATTAGGCACGCCGCCATGGCGTGGGCGAACGGCGGGTGTTCAGAAACCATATCCTGACCAACGTGGCTTCCGCGTTAGGAACGCTTATACCTTCATCCCAGAAATGCAGACGGGGTTGAAAGGGCATCGAAAGACACTAGCATGCACAGCTCAGTGCACATGCAGGGCACACATGCGCATGCAGTGTGTGTTCCAAGTTGAGGCAACGCGAAGCGAGCCCGGCAACCGCAGCATTCTTCTGTATGGGCGGTCCTCCAGCGCAGTTTCCGCGCTTCGGTCCTGGCCAGTTTTTTGAAGCCAGCAGATCGGGCAACCAGATTTTGGAGTTGCGAACGGCCCTTTAGATCCTTTAGTCAGGATCAAGCCAAGACTGGGGCCTTTATGATCTCAGCTGCGACTTCCGAAAGGATGCCATGGCGGGAGCTCCTTGTTGCCGGAGAGGCTGGCAGAGAAGTACTGGCAGCTGGCCAGCTCCTGCAAAACGAAAACTTAGAATTTCCGAAACATCGACGGCACAACCCGTGAAAACCTCCGAATCTGCTCAGAATCTGCAACCTACAGTCCCTTTTAATCGGCATTGAGAAAATTTTCCATATAGATTTATCCACTATTATCCCTTTCAAAAACGTGGCTCGACGAAATCTCCTTGAAGACTCATCACCAGCCACGTGCCCCCAAGCCCTATAATGCCTCTAAGCAAATGTGCAAAGTCACCATGCTGTGCCGCCCCTTGCCATAAACAGCTAAGTCAGCACTACAATCCGAACACACGAGATTCGGATGGACAAGCAGCACCTTCAGCGACCGCCAGAGGCTTCGCCTCAAACGACCTGAGGCGCGCTTGCCTCGGGAGCTTGTTTACGGTTTGGATGGGTTTTGGGGGCTTTGGGTTCTTCAGTCCGAGTTTTAGGTGAGGCCTTGAGCCTTGAGGGTCTTTAGACGGGCTTTATAGGGTTCTCAGGCCTGCTAAAACCCAAGTACACAGCTGGCCTGGCCTGCAATTTGCCCTCGGGAATTTCCGCCACTTCACAGACCCAGGAAATCCAAGCAGACTTCAAAAGCACAGAAATGAAAAAGAAGTTAGAGGTCGCCCAGACGTACAGACATACTGGGCTAAGAAAATCACAAAGTGAAAGCACCAGTGGAGGAGCTCTGGAGATTGCCCGTATTGCCTCTGAGCGCCCCGGCCCGGGGCTCGCATGGCTGCGACTGCGCTGCACACCGCCAGCGCCATGTCCTTTGGCGCTCCGTGGTGGAAAAAATGGGGCATGCGGGTCTGCGGGTGGTCTCGGCGGGCCTTGGAAGGTGTGACATTTATCAGCCTGTACAAAGATCGGCCCACACCTTCTCAAAATCTCCAGAAACCCAAGCTCTCTGGGACTCGTAGCCCGCACTTGCCAAGCGGCTCCGCTGGCAAGGTCCACGAGCTCTTGAGCGCCAAGGGCCTTTGTCAAAATTAAGCTTTTGTTTGTCTAGTTCAAGCATGTTGGGTGTGTGTGTGTGTGAGGCACAATCCCTCAGGTATGATTTGGAGATTACAAAGCGACGCGTTCTTGAGTGCAGCACTGAACCCCGTAAACAAGGCCTTGAACCTAAACCCTAAACTCGAAACTCTCAAGCTAAGAGCGGCTGAACCTCGAAATGGCGGCTCGAGCAGCTCCTTTCGACACACAACCACAACGACCACAACCCCAAAACCCAATACCTCAAAGAACTCAGAGGATCCGAAGATCCAGGGTTGATCAACCTTCCTCCTCCTCAACTTACTCACGCTCAAAATTTTAAACTCTAGAAAAGAAAGCCTCCCCCTTCCCTTGCGTGTAGAGAGGGGGGGATGAACAGCGCGTAGGGCGCCGGGCTTCGGGGCCGGGCTCGGAGCAGCGAGCCAGGATCTGCCAGGATGAGCACCAAGGCAAGGGTACACGGGTCCCCAAAAGTCCAAGACAAACGGGGGAAGGGGGAGAGGGAGAGAAAAAGAGAGAGGAAGACGATGTTGGGGCCCCCCGGGGCGTTGAGCGAGAAAGATGTCAGAGCTCGGCAGTTTGCACGGACTTGCACGGCTTGTGGTCTATGGGCAAAAGCTGTTTTGGAGCTCAGGGCCAGGTATGACTCCACAGGCAGAATGCGCAATCCAACTTTCACAAGCAATGCATCATGACTTCATGCTACGCGTAGTCTCGCATCCTGCAGTCAGCAACGGAGATACTTCCCCAATCCATCTTGACAACTTACCTGCCAACAAAAGAGCGACTAAGACAAAGCTCCAAAGTCAAAAGGCAGGCCTGCAGGGGAAGCCGCAGAGCTTCCTACAAGGATGTGAGGGACTTGGAATAGAAACGGGCCTGGATTTGCAGCAGGCAATTCAACGCAAGCAGCTGAAGCCTGCCCAAAACCCACCTGGTGCCCAAAGCCAAGATAAAACCTCACCGCCGACACAAGGCTCCTGGCACAGTGGCGGCGCGGCAGCGCGTGGTGCCGCGCGCGACACGTCACCGGCAGCTAGGCGCTCGTCACGAAGGGACTGGCGTGCAAGCGGAGGCTCTGAAGCTTCGGAACTTGGTATCGGGCGTGGCGGGTGTGGGTTTTGGGTTTTGGGCGCTTGGCGTTCGGATTGTCTAGCTTCGAGGTGGAGGGTTGCAGTAACAGCCAGATTTCAATCAATTCCAACTACTAGTAACTCTAACTACTCCTTCAAATTATCTCCTGATGGGCATGGAACAATGGATGGTGCTGTCCATGCTCCAAAGCCTTTTGCATGGTTCTGCGTCCCGCGTCGGCACAGACCCTGTATAGATCTTACACCCTGTGTATAAATTTACAACCCTAAAACCCTAAACCCTCAAAAACACCTTCAAGACTCCTTCCCTTGAAGAGCATATACACTCCAAACCCTAGCATTCCAGAATCTCTGACCCCACGGTGGGGGGCTGCGGAGCGGGCCGGTGGAGGGGGTTGCGACACTGCACCATCTATGCCCCCGGAGAATGCTTCGAACGACCCGCCCGGCGTGCCACAGAGCGGATCTCTGGCATGGGCTTCAACAGCGATGTCCGCGCATGGCGGCTCCTTGAGGGCTGGTTTGGGGATGTCAGGCGAAGAGCTTGCAAAGGTCCTTATGGGAAATCGGCACAAAGGTGGCAGCCAAATTCCTGCAAATATCCCCTCACACTCCTGCTGGGACGGACCCCCTTTCAACGGCATCACGCTGCAACTTTACGAAGCAGAAAAGAAGGCTGTCGACATCCTTTGCTCTGTACAATTAAGCCGTGCAGATCCCTGCAGCTAGCAGCTAGCGGTCTCATCGCATGAGGTGTGAAAACTCGTGCCGCGCAGGAAGCGCGAGTTGAGCCGACAAACTTGGTACCATGCGGCGTTAGAGTTTAGGGCAGTGGGCTACAAAAGTCTTCGTGCTGCGTGGGGGCAGAACGTCCCAAACGCCATCCAGCTTCGGCAACACCTCCCGGGAGGTTTCTCAGTGAGCCGGAAACCCTGAGCCGAAGATGGCATGAAAGCCGGGCTCTTTGGGCCAGAGTGTCTGGGGTCTGGGTCTCAGAAAGTTCAGGAAGTTCAGGGGATCATGGGCGTCCCCAAACCCCTACGACGCATGCCCCAAGAGCCCTGGTTCTCTGAAGCCGAATGGCAAAGGCCGAATGCAAACCTGCCAACCCAGGCGGTAAGATCGGTGAATCCCAGGAGCGCACGTAGCAGACTCCCCGTGTTGAAGGTCTTCTCCAGGCGTCCCAAACCCTTGCAACATCTTTGCAAGCATAGCCTTTTTGGACCCCTCAGAAAGGCAAACCTCCCATGACATCCCATGACATCCCATGACCCTCGCCTCCTCTGCCAGGCCGGCCGCCGCCGTCGACCCGACCGTCGACAGGACAGCATCCAGGGCCTCGAGGTTGCGACCTTCGTGGGGAGAAGGGGCTGTGCAAAACCCGCAAGGGGTTTTGCACAGTAGACGTTCAGTTGGCGGTTTTCGACAGCTGCATGGTCGTGTGGGGGCTATGTTGAGGGTTGATCAGGTCTACTTTTGGACAAAAAGCTTTCGCCGCTGGCTCTGCCTTCTTGCTGGCCAACCTTTGCCACCTCTGGTTGCAGACGTTCAGTTGCCACCCAACTAACCCATGCACTTAAACAGACCCGATAAGGTTCACACCAACTCGAACGCCGAAAACCCTTCACACAAACAAAACCGAGCCGAAGCCTAGTGCTCGTCTTGGCCAAGAGGCAGAGGTGCAGCAGCCACGGCGGGGCATCGCCGGCAGGCTGCGCGCGCGCCGAGGCGAGCTGCAGGGGATTCTCAATTGGGGGGGATCTTGCGGATTAGCCTTTCAGGACCATTGTCCGGCTCCTTGGCTTGGCCCTGATGAGCCAGGCAAAGCCTAGCCGAAATCCCAAAAGCCAGTCCTGAACCCCGAAACCCTCAAACAACGGCCTCCGCCGATGCTGGCTCAGCTGCTTCCGCGGCGGCCTCTTTTAGGGAAGTCCGCTCAAAAAGGGCTTTAGGACTTTAGGACTGAGAGCTCAGATAGTTGAGTTCAGACGGCTTTCTTGCTCTGGTGCTTTGGGGAGTTCCGAGCGCTAGAGCTCTAGGCGTTTAGGTTTTCTCGGACATCAGGATCTTAGGGATCCCGAGATAGGTTCAAAAAGGAGTTTGCAGGCTTAGGTTCGTGGGGAGGTCAAAGGGGCCTTACACTGCGCTTTTCATGTCTGATGTGTGGCATTGACCTAGAGGGGATCTCCGAAACACAAGCGCATAATGAGGCCATGGTCCTGAAGACCTCTCCTGCCTCGGCAAGAAGCACTGCACTCCGCGATGCCAGCTTATGCCAGGGTATCACTGCGTCCGTGGCTGGAGCACCCTGGGCAAGGACGTGGGGACTACACTTTCGCACTCGCAGAAAACACCAAGTAACACTATTTCAAATATGCCGTTTCATACGCATTATATTAATCATTCCTGTAGACCCAATGGGGGTCGAGAATCGAGCGAGTGACATGTGAGAGAAAGACGTGATGAAAAGGGTTGATGTAGGCTCAGTCAGGTTGGCATGCCCAGCTGCCCGGAGAAAGATGTGTTTAGCCCTTGACCGGTAGAAAAAAGTCGGCTCAGGCCGAATCCGCAGGTGCAGAGTCCAATCAACACAAAGCGGGTTGACGTTCAAGGCTGCAGCTGCGCATGTTTCGATGCATTGCTGCAGCGCAAGCCCATCCAAACACCCGCCATAGCATCCTTCACCAGATTCACACCGAAGCAGCCAAACCTTGAAAACCGAGCCAAACCCTACTGTGACCCTCAATGAACCCCCGTGAACAATCTTCGAAAAACCGTTTCAAGCCTGGGGAGCCATAAACCCCCCTCCAGGAGGAGCGGGCCTTGTTGGGCGTCTGCACCCAGCGCTGCCACGCCACGACCTGCACCAGGAACGGAGGGTCCTGTGACCATTTATGCAGACGCCCTTCCTCGGGTTTTCGAGAGTGCTTGCCCTAAATCCAAGTGCGTGAACGGCCAAACCACGACATTAGACTTGGGATCTGCGGCTTTTTTTGAGCGTTACCATGCGATACCCAAACCAGGTCTCAAGGATGCTCCTGCAAATGCCCCTGGCAGCTTTGTTCCTTCATGTTCCTTCCAGCTTGTTCCCGTCTGAAAATGAAGCGCCGCCCACACCAGGAACCCAGCGGGCTCAATGTCCATGAAAGGTCGGACATGTACAGGATTGTACAGGCCTCGCAGGCATTCCGAGCTAAGTCACTTCAGTGAGCGACGGCACTTCTTGGCCAGGAAGACTTCGTTTAGTCCAGCGCTGGAAGCGGAATCACCGCACGGAGGCTTTCGTCACTAAAGGCGCTTTTGCGACTTAATTGCTTAACTACTGTCCTCCACGTGGGCTTGCAGCTCACGCCCTCGGTACCTCTTTCAAAAAGGCGCGAACAAGGCGCGAGCGTGGTAGGCTACAATGGTTTACAGTAGAGAGGTACAAGGTGCTTGTTGCACACAAGTTTAGCAGGCCTCAGAATTAAACGAAGATTCTGTGTCAGGTCAGGGCACTAATAAACATTGACGCCCCGGTAGGTCGCCGGGGGTGTAGCCTGGTAGGCGGCAGCAGGTTGGTAGGCCTGGGGTGCATAGGTTTGTTGCGGCACCTGAAAATACTGTGGCACAGCCCGCGGCGACTGCTGGCTGTTGTAGGTCATCACATTCCGGACCTGGTTGTGGAGCTGCTGCGGGAAGGCCTGCGGCGGGGTGACCTGTCGGACTTCCGGCGCCACCTCGATCATGGGCGCTCCATCCACCTGGACGCCACGCTTCATTGAGCGATTGGACTTCTTCTTCTTCTTCTTCCCATCTTCGGACATGAAGTAGTACGCGCCGCCCATCAAAGCAAGGGCACCAGCGATCCCCCCGATTACGCCGAAGGTCATGGTGTTGTCGCCACCGCCCGAGCTGCCCGAGCTGCCCGAGCTGCCTGGCGCAGAGCCGAGGACCTCGTCGGCGCTCGGGGCCATCTGGGCCTCCTGGGTGGCCTCCTGGGTGGCCTCCTGGGTGGCCTCCTTGGCCTTCAACCCTGCGGACTGCATCACGTCCCCCACCTGATTGGCCTGCTCGGTCAGATCCTGCCCGAGCTGGTTGGCATGGCTGTTGAACTCCTTTGCCTTCTGGCTCAGGTCGCTACTGGCCTGATTGGCCTTCTGGGTCAGATCGTGCGCAACCCGATTTGTCTGCTGGGTCACATCCTGCCGCAACTGGTTGATCTGGCTGCGGAACTCCTTTGCCTTCTGGCTCAGGTCACTGCTCAGTCCGGTGCTGGCTTGATTGGCCTTCTGGCTCAAATCCTTTCCAAACTGGGAGAGCTGCTGTTCCAAATTGGCAGCCTGGTTGTTGAACTCCTGGGTCCGCTGCGTCAGGTCGCTGTTGGCCTGATTGGCCTCCTTGGTCATATCGTCCACGGCCTGATTTACCTTCTTGGTGAGATCCTGTCCGACTCGGTTGACCTGGCTGTGGAACTCGCTAGCCTTCTGGCTCAGATCACTGCTTGCTTGATTGATTTTCGGGGCCAAATCCTTTCCAAACTGGTCCAGATCCTGTGCGGCCTGATTCAGCTGGTGGGTTATGCTGGTGACCTGGCTGCCGACCTCGTTTGACTTCTGGAAGTCGAAAACATCCTTCTCGAATTGTTTCAACGAGTTGTCGACATTGCCAGCACTGGCCATCGACGCTCCACTCACTGGGGCCTCACCCGCACAGGCCCTTGGACCGCTGTACGACTTCTCATCGGTCTTCTCCTGCACATCCTCTCCCATGAAGATTTGGCAGGCACCGCCGGGGAAAGAGTCCTCCTTCCACGAGAAATGCTTGCAGGTTGGGTTCATGTAACAGGCCATCTGACACATCTTTGGAGTGTAGAGCCATGCCGCATTGGGCGTGCCCTTGGCATCTTCATCGCTCACATAAGTTACACCCTTCTTGGCACAGGTCGGCACCGCATCGCTGCTGGGCTCGGCCGTGCCGCTGTGGAGGGCGAGGAGGATGCAAACGGTGCGAAGCATTCTCTGCTTGACTGAACTTAGGTAGCTACCTACAAACGGTCTGAACCGAACACGACGCGGGCATGGCGGCTCTGAGGTGTGATCATTCAACGCTAGACAGCCACTATCATCCCAAAGCCCCAACACAACGCAAACCCAAACCACCGGAACATGGAAAGTCAATCGGATAGAGCAAACCCTGGACTTCCGACGCGCACCTGCTCCGGCCCCATGGATGCAGAGGCCTGTTCGGGCTTCAAAAACCCCGCTGACCGGCCCAGACCAACAAAAACAAAACATCCGCCCCCCCCCCCCCCCCCCCCCCCCCCCCCCGTAAACATCACAGCTCTATCGCTAGAGCTCAGCCCACTTCTCCCTTTAAGGGGGATCGAACGTCTGTGGCCTGCAGGGTTTTACAGATTGTAAGTGTTCAGTCCAGAACTGGCTGAAACTCGGGCGTAGGCGTGTCTACAGGACGCCTATATTTCAAAATAAGGTACTCGCTGCGCGTACCAGGCTTAAAATGATGGTGCGCGAAACCTCTAAAAGCCAGATCTGAACCTGTCCAAGCTGAACCAAAAAGCACAATTGTACAAGAACTTAGACCGCCCGCGCACAAGGCATTGCCTGCCCGTGTCTCGTTGCACAAGCTCTCAAGGAGCCAACAAGCCCTCACCTTGCACTCCTTCGACCTGGAATCCCCGTGACACCCACGAAGCCGCCGCTTGGAGCCCCCGGGCAAACCCTGAAGCCCTGCAGCCCGCAGCGCAGAACCCATACAACGAACGAGCCATCCCCTAACCATTTCGTGGTGCGTTACACGATCTTAAGTTCATGATTACTATTAGAGTCGCAACCCTACTAAGACCCATACCATCATGTACTATCCAATGGCTCACATCCGCAAAGAAACGTCCAAGCCAGTGCAGGACTGTGCTGCCCTCGCCTCCAGCAGCTCGTAGAGCTCGAGGCCCAGCACCCCCGGTGGCACAGGAGGCTCGGGACCTTTTGGGCTGTTGGGCTCCAACGGCGCTGGTGGCTCGGGCTTCAAGCAGAGCAGCAGAACCCTCAATAGATGGCGGCGCTGAGTCGCCCAAGGCAAAAGAGCAGTCGACAGCCTGCGTTCCGGCGTTGCCCGAAGCTCAAGAAACCCACTGTCGAGACCTCCTGCGTGTACCGGTGCCAGGGTCGTGCGAGGTGCCGCGCCTCAACATGATAGTACTAAATCTGCAGGTGTCACGGCCTTTTGGCTCTGGCTCCTCTGAATGATTGAGTGATTTGGTGCTGAGTCTTAATTCTTAATCATGTCTTGAGTTGCTCACACACACACACATGCCTGCGCCCATGAGCGCCTCGAGACGCCGCGCCAGGGCTGAGACCTCCCCGGCTTCAAGTTGAGCTCCCCATCAAGTTGCGCCTGCTCTCACGATACATGTATACGTGTTAACAGATATTCTACGATTCTACGAACAAATACGTACGAATACAAAAGAATTTACAAAGACATATACAAGTACATATCTTGCATAATTCTACATACTCGACACACTATGTTACGGCTGCTACGGACACACACACACACACACACAGAGACACACACACACACAGAGACACAGAGACACAGAGACACAGAGACACAGAGACACAGAGACACAGAGACACAGAGACACAGAGACACAGAGACACAGAGACACAGAGACACGAGACACAGACACAGACACAGAGACACAGACAGACAGACAGACAGACAGACAGACAGACAGACAGACAGACAGACAGACAGACAGACAGACAGACAGACAGACAGACAGACAGACATACAGACACACAGACAGAGACACAGACAGAGACACACACACACACACACACACACACAGACGGACAGACGGACAGACGGACAGACGGACAGACAGACAGACGGACAGACCGACAGATGGACAGACGGACAGACGGAGAGACAGAGAGAGACAGAGAGAGACAGAGAGAGACAGAGAGAGGCAGAGAGAGACAGAGAGAGGCAGAGAGAGCGACGGAGAGAGACAGAGAGAGACAGAGAGACACACACGTGCATACACACATACACACTTGGACACGTATGCCCAACTCGGGAACCCAAATATACACAGCCCTGATCTGGATGACAAACCAGAACTCCAAACCCTCGACCCAAACAGTGAACCATATTTGCCCGGCAGTTCCGAGCATGGACCCCGAAGCATTCAATTGCCGGCAGTCCCGCCTGGCCGCCCATGGCAGCGGCTTGCGCCCGGAACGCGAAGTGGCGGTCGGTGATTAGGGGCTTGGGGGTTGGGGGGCTTTCCGGGTGTTTCGTGAACAAGCCCCGACAAGAACGAAAACGAACACCTGAACAAAATCCTCCCAAAAAGAGGCTGCTAGGTCTCGCCACTTGCGACCACTAGACTTCACTAGACTAGGGCTCAGGGTTTTGTTTGTGGCCTCAGCGGTGGACCGTTCAGGGCATCACATGCTAACCATGTCGTGAAAGGGCTTAGCAGTTGCTGAACGTTGGGGCGGTTTGGGGCCATGGACCGCCGCAAGTCTGAAGCTTGGAGGCTGAAAGAGCCACGGTCAGAACTCGCATCAGGACAGGGTCTACGATTTAAGCTCGCAATAATTGAGGGAAGGTTCTGGGCACCTTGAATGAACCCCAAGCCCTCCTCCCGGAGCTTGAGCTTCCCGCTCTGGGTACAAACGCTGTTTCGGTGAGAAGCGGGGGAGTTTCAGGCCTTCAGGCCGGATTCAGGCTGTGATTCAATGCGAGGGCATCTCCTCTGAAATCTTTCAGAGTCCTGGACTTCAGGCGTCCGACTCTAATGACCATTAGCTTTCGGGCTGAGGATCACTTGCCAAGTGCTTGACACTCCAAGTCGTAAGCTTCCATGCAACCCCTCTGCACCTGCTGTGAGAAGCCGTTGTCGCTGCCTTCCAGGACACAGCAGGCATCCTGGCCATAGCATATGCAACTGCTGATGGGCTGGGAGGATGCCAACAATGCGGCTCGGATTGCGGCTGCTTGGGGCTGATGCTTGAAGAACGCAACGGCGACAACGAGATGTCCGCACAATTGTCCCCCACCCTACTGGCCCCTCAAACGCAAAACACTCTTCGCACAGAAAGCCTAAACTTGGGCCAAAACCACCCAAGCTCTCTGGAACCCAAAGTTTGAACTCTAGGCTCCAGTGCTGCTTTAGCAACAAACAGAGCTTCTTCACAGCCAACCTGGAGGTTGTCTCCGGATGCCGCAGACCAGCCTTTCCGAAACATGTGCTTCTTTGGGGCTTGAGCGCTTGGGGGACACGAGCCATTTCGGTGTTTTATGTCAGTTGGCTGCGCGGGCCTCGAGTTTCAGGCGCAAGGCCACGAAGGTTCGAGTCGGGCTTCGGGTTCCAAGTTCAAACGTTTAACGTTTCAGGCCTTGGGTTTATATTCTTAGGTTGGACCACATCAAGCCTTGCCCTGGTGACCCTCTGGTGAAGCCTTTTTCAGCGGACAACCTAAAGGTGAGGCTCATGCCTTGGAGTGCCTCATCCAACAGGCCTACTGCCACAGAAAATCTGGGGATGACAGGATGAGCTCTGCTAGCGAGGGTTCATCAGCTGAGCTAGCATTTCTGTCACTGCATCTCCCCCTAGGCAAGGGTTCCTTGTGGCCGGCTTCAAATTGCCGTCTTGAGTGACACTCTACTCTCCTCGTAGCCCTCAATCGTGACCATACCCGAAATGCCCTGAACTTCCGCAAGCCCTTTAGCCCCAAATCGGCCAAGGTGCTGCAGGCATAGGATCTGCACTTGAGGTTGGAAGCCTCAAAACGCCCACAAATCTTTAGACTACAGGATGTGGAGTTCGGCTTCTAACCTCAGCACCTCCAGTCACCCTACATCTCTGAGTCCTAAGTCGCTGTATTTTTGCGCGGAGTGTGGAGCGGCGTTTCGGGCCGTGTCGAGGAGTGTAGCCGTGTAAAAACAGTAACCAAGCAGGGTCTGTAGGCTGACAAGTTCAGAGGCATGGTTTGCAGGGAAGGTAAGCTATGCTAAGTCTGGGGTGTGGAGTGGCGCAGTGTAACTAGTCATGTGTGGGAAGGAGGGAGGGAGGGGGAAAGAGCGTAGGACTGTAGTGTGCGGTGCATCTATGAAAACCTATGCCCAAACCCGATGGCCCAGTCTCAGACCCCCTACGCCGCCACGCCGCAGGCGAAACATGCCCGGCCTAGTTATGAAGACAAAATGCTACTGCTATTGGCCCGAATCCCCGCGCCGCTCGGGAACTTCGAGGCTATGGGATATCCTAACAACTGGGAACAGAACGCAGCGGAGGTCGTTGCTGCAGGTGCCTGGCGGACAAGTCTACAAGCCCGGGAATCTCAGAACTGTGGGAGCTCATGGTTTGCGACCATACATGCCTTCTGTGGGCACAGCACCCTTTGTAGATGAAAGCAGGGCCCTGAATGTGGAAGGCTGCCTTCATAGGCCTCTTTTCGCAGAGGGCGCGCATTCAACTCATAAAGCTTGCAGAGTCTGGAAACCCCCCCTAAACTCCTTCAACCAACCCGATTTCTGGACCTGCAGCCCACAGTGCCCCCCAGCGCCTTCATTGACCCCGCAGGGGTTCTCTTGGGTACAGCAGCCACCTCGACACACGAGAGTGAGCTCTTGAACCAGCGCACGTTGCAGGTAGAGGCTCGGTAGAGGTGTACAGGGCCGCAGGGATTCCACTGGCATCAGGGCTCAGGGTCAATCTACGTTTTTGATCATGGTTCTCCTGTCTTCCTTGACTTTATTTGCCGAAAGTGCAAAGTCTTTCGCTGCTGCTGTCGCACTCTTGAATTCCAAGAGCTGCCACGAAGCAGAACTTCAGAGCTTTTGCGAAAAGCGCAGAATCTTTCGCGGTATCTAAGTGTACTAGCAAGACATGTTAGGCTGCGGGTCTGTCGTCTGCAGAGGGGGGGGGGGAGTCACCGACGACACACAGCTAGACCCCGCTGAACTCACTTCACAGCTGTTTAGACGATGAAGCCCTTAAACTCACCCCCCCCGAGTCTTGGAATCCCCGGCTGTTGCCGGCCGCCAGGTCCGCCGCATCGGAACCACAGCCGGTGGCTGTGCCCTGGAGAGGGAGTGGCCCAAGAGGGGGGGGGGGGGGAGGAAAACTTCGCGATACCTGTCCCCCGTAGCTTCAAAACGCTGAAGAGGCGAAGATTATGCCAAGAAGATGTATGCTGGCAAGAATTTGGAGCGGTCGCGAGGTAAGTCGAGACTCAAGACATCACAGGTCTGGCACAAA